TTTTTTTTGAATATTTTAATTTGAAAAACAGGAACATTTAAATTGACAATACAGTTTAGCATTGTCTTCATTCCTTTCACATTTCATTTTTCTTCAATTTTCCTGCAAAGATTGATTGTCGGTTCAAAAATATTGACAAAGCCTTTGTTAAGTTAAAACACACACACATCACTGTTTGTGTCAACGGATGACATTCCTTCCTCAGCCCTAATTTCCTCAAATTTCAATTAGTCACTGAAAACTGTAGAAATGAGCATAGCCGCCAATTAATAAAATTTGAGGAGAAATGATTGGAAATGTTAGAGGAAATAAACCAATTAAAGGAGACTGTAATGAGTGCTAAGAATAAAGGATTTGATGTCTTTTACTTTTTAAAATATTTCGGAACATATTAACTTTGACAGTTAAAAAAAAATGAAATTAATGAGTTTTCAAATTTGATAAGTTCTATGAGGTAAAGTATTACATCTGAGAATATTAAACCTTTTTTAAACAATAATTTGGCAGAAATTTATGGAACTCAAGTAATTATTGATATTTGAGTGACTCAAATCTCGAAAAAAACTAATAAAGCAAAAATCTCTAAAATTTTACTCGATTAGTTTGTAAAATTGTGAAAAAACTTTTTTCATTGTAAAATTACAAAAGAATATGTAAAGTATGCATATAATGAATGAAAAAGAAAAAAAAGCGAAACGTACGTTGCAAGTATGCAAATAGCTTGCAAAGGAGATCGCCGAACATCCAACAATAAATAACGGAACTAACGAGAGTCGGTGGCATACAAATCACTGATAACATCAAATCGGATATTGCCAAATTTAACAAATAAATATTTGTCACTGATCGCATTGAATGTTGCTAAAAATTACAAAAATTATATCGTCATTTTCAAAAAAAAGGGAAAAGAAAAATTGGATCGATTAAATGAATTTCTTTGAGCATTTGCTATAGCCAACCCAATGCAGTAATTTAATGCCACCAAAAATATCGTTTATTAATTAAGGCTTGAAAATTTTGTTGATTATAACAGATAATTAAAAAATTTTAAAATTTAACAGTAAACCTGTAAAATGACAGCAACAACGATTGCATTGCCAACAACAGAGAGGCAAAAAATGATACAAAATGAAACAATTGTAATATAATTTTCAATTGTAGGCCTGAAACGGCAATCATCTTGCACAACAACTTCCATATCATTCGTAAACATCACCGTTGATAAAGGTGATAATGATACTGATAATGATGATGATGTTGTTGATGATGCTATTGCTAATGATGCTGCTGCTACTGTTGCTGCTGCTGATGATGATGATGATGGTGGTCGTGTTGATGATGATGATAATGATGATGATGATGATATTGAGGATGATGATAATGGTGGTGATGATAGTGATGATGTTGATGACTGTTCTGATAATAATGATGTTGTTACTGTTGATAGTGACGATGATAATGTTGACGTGCTATTTAGACTGAAATAAAAGAAAGAGAAGAATTTCATTTCCTTGGTTTTTCTTAGCTGAGGGACCATTTCAGGTCCCACAGCAGAGAAAAATATCATTTTATGTTGGATTAAATAGGTCATTTTCGAGAAATAACCAACAGTATATTATAGCTCTTTTTATTCATTTGGTGCCAGGAAAAACCTTCGATTTCCTCAATGATTTTCAAATTTTCTACGGCATGTTACAATTTTATTTCATCTAATCCAAAATGTATCACAATGCATTATTGATATTATATCAATTGATATTTTAAGCGATCATCGCCTTCTGATGATTGTTAAAAATTTTTGAAACATCTTTATGTAATATCAATGTAACAATTTAAAACTTTCTATTATCAACTAAACGATATTATTACTTAAAAATTAGAGATTCAATTTCTCAGATGTAATACTTTACCTCATAGAACTTATCAAATTTGAAAACTCATTAATTTCATTTTTTTTTAACTGTCAAAGTTAATATGTTCCGAAATATTTTAAAAAGTAAAAGACATCAAATCCTTTATTCTTAGCACTCATTACAGTCTCCTTTAATTGGTTTATTTCCTCTAACATTTCCAATCATTTCTCCTCAAATTTTATTAATTGGCGGCTATGCTCATTTCTACAGTTTTCAGTGACTAATTGAAATTTGAGGAAATTAGGGCTGAGGAAGGAATGTCATCCGTTGACACAAACAGTGATGTGTGTGTGTTTTAACTTAACAAAGGCTTTGTCAATATTTTTGAACCGACAATCAATCTTTGCAGGAAAATTGAAGAAAAATGAAATGTGAAAGGAATGAAGACAATGCTAAACTGTATTGTCAATTTAAATGTTCCTGTTTTTCAAATTAAAATATTCAAAAAAAA